GAAGGAAGGCGATTACTCAAGTTCCAGCCGGTCGAGGAGTTTTGTGTTACCACAGTTGATCTGGCAATACCTGAGCCCAGAGGTTTGATCTTCATCATCGTCGCTGTCTCGGCATATGTTTCCTCTGGGCCACGTTAATAAAGTTAGATAGCGGAATTTCTGCTTGTTGAATTTTTTCATCCGACGAATTCGGGAGTTTAGGAGTTCTCAACTCGGACACAGTAATCGTAAAGAATTGCCTCACAGGTCGAAAGAAAGAATTTTTGTAATTCTGGTTTATCTCCGCCAAACTGCTTCTCATATACAAGAGAAGGGAAAAACGGAGGGCCAGAGGTGAAGAAAGAGAAGGACATGAGATAAGGATCGAAGATTACACACTTTATGTAGACGGAGGAAACGATGTTTCGAAAAGCAGAAAAGACGCCTCGCAATGGGCCGTACGTTCCATTATTCCAACTGTCAGCGGTTTCAAAAATTCAAAAAAATTTATTATGCACCAACTCTGCGAATAATATGCGACGTCTGTATGTTGCAATTTTGTATGTCGAGAATAGAGAATAGAGAATTTCAAAAAAAAAATCGAGTAGAAGTGCGAATGGGGTATGCGAGCAATATGCGGCAAATTCGCATACCCCCTCGCATAACTGAAAGATGAAAGAATTAAAAAAGAAAAAATAATAAACTTTCGCGTAGAAGTGCAAATGGGGTATGCGAGCAATATACGGAAATTCGCATAACTGAAAGATGAAAGAAAATAGCAAATAAACTTTCTTGTAGAAATGCGAAGGGGGTATGCGAAATCTCATACCACCCTCGCATATATCCCTAAAATGACCCTAAACCCTAAACTCTAGACCCTAAACCCTAAACCAATACTTGATTTTATATCTTATGATATAATAGTCTATTCTTTAAATTACCGTTCATAATGTATAAAATGGTCATTATTATATTTTTTAATAAGTGGCTTTCTTCTATTGTCAATTAATTTCACTTTAAACCATATTTATCTATATACCTTAACTCATAATCCACATTTTATCTAAGATTGAACTTGAATATTATTATATTTTTTAATAAGTGGTTTTCTTCTATTGTCACTTTCAAACATAATCG